ACACCTGGCTGAAACATCTCTATATAAAAGAAACACTGTCTCTCTGCTGTTCACATCTCTATATAAAAGAAACACTCTCTCTGTGCTTTTGGCAGCTTTCACAACAGATGTTAATTGTGCTGGACTCTTGTATCTCAGTGAGAGGCATCATTCACTCAGGAGTGAGGGCTCATTTTCCTTCCTGTGCTACTAGAATTTTCCCTGTCTTTCTATCATGCTGCAGCCTTTTCTCCTCCTCCTCCTCCTCTTCTTCTTCTTAAATAGAAAATTGCTGCTTCTGCTTCACCAGATGGGGCGTCTCTGGATAAAGATTTCCACATAAGCGCCCTGTGTGAACAATCTCTCGTGCTGGTCTCAGCCCAAACTGTACCCACAAAGACAATTTTCTTTTTCTTTTGATTTTTGAGACAGTCTCTCTTAATAAAAGTCCTGACTATTCTGGGACTCACCATTAAGACCAGACTGGCCTCAAACTTAAAGAAACCCAAACTCTCTTGCTTTACAAAAAGCCAGAGTAAGAAATGAAAACAGAGGAAAGGAGGATCAAGCATCAAGAGTCTTGATGAAGCCAGATGTGGCAGTGCATGGGAGGCAGGAAGGGGTAGTCACCATGCATTCACGGCCAGCCTGGACTACACAGTGGAACCTTGTTTGAGAGGAGGAGGAAACAGCCTGTTTAAGTGAATACTCACATGAACGTATGGCAAGACCCTGTGCAGTGACTTGAAGCCATAAGGACCTGCTTGCTTCAGTGATTCTTGGCTACCCAAGCTCAGAAGATGTGGTTGTGTGTGTTTCTGAGACAGGGTTCCTATGTGGCTCTCCCTGGCTGTCCTGGAACTTACTCTGTAGACCAGGCTGCCTTGAACTCAGTGATCTGCCTGTCTCTGCCTGCCACGTGCTGGGATTAAAGATGTGCACCAACACACCAGCTAGAAGATGCCCTCTTTGCCCTTGCTGAGACCCCAGCTTATAATACTACCTTTTTATTTCATTTTTGTATGTTTTAACAGCGCTATCAACGGAATCCTGGGTCCCATGCATGCTAGGCAAGCGCTGTTCCACTAAACCACACCCCCAGCCCTTGCTCCTACTTCTCTCAGAGAGCTTACTCCGTCCTGGAGACAGACTACACCTTGCGCCAACTTTGGCTGTACCTTCCACCTGAGCCTGTCTGTGCACAGATGCAGATGTCTGCAGGCTGTGGGTGCCACTGTGTCTACCTCTCCCTTCTGGCTACCACTGTCAAACATTTTCACGGTCAGTGCCACCATTGCCTATAATCTGCCACTCACTGTGCCAGCTAGGAAACTGCCTTCATTATTCCTACACAGAGAGATGCTCTACTGGTGAAGTAACCACGGGCAGAGCATCTGCCACAGAGGCTCCCACAGCCATTCACAGATAGGTGTGTGCACAGGTGGTAAACAGGATGAGATTCGCCCTACATAGAATTCATCTTCTCCTCATCTCTCTCCTGCCCAGCCACAGTTATGGTTTGAGTATGAACTGTCCTCTATGGGCTCAGTGTTGAATGCTTGGTCCAAAGCCAGTGGTGCTATTTCGTTCTAGAAAGTACGGTGGAATATAACTATGTAAAGATGGGTTACATTTGTTTAACAATGTAAAGATGTATTGTTTTGCCTGGCTAAGGCACTTGATTGGTCTAATAAAAAACTGAACAGCCAATAGCTAGGCAGTAGAGGAATAGGTGGGGTTGGTGTGCAGAAAGAATGAGTAAGAGGAGAGAGAGAGAAGAGAGAACAAGGGAGAACAGTAGGGAAATGCTGGGGCCAGCAAGCCAGGCCATCACCAGACAGACAGGTATGGAGCAGGACATAATGAAATGAAAGGTAGAAAGCCCAAGGCAAATGCAGACGAAGAGAAACAGGTTAAAATAAGTTATAGGAGCTAGTGGGACAAGCCTGTTACAGGGAAGTTTAGAAGGCAGGACCTAGCAGGAGAAGTAGATCACTGTGGGTAGGTCCTTGAGGATATATTGTTCCTGATCCCTTACTATTTCTCTCTCTTTCTCCACCCTGTCTGATGTGAAATGAGCAGCATGTTCTTGCCTCCATACTGTTCTGTCCAAGTGCATGAAGCCACATTACTGTGAACCAAACCCTCTGAAATTGTGAGCCAAAATAAATTCATCCTCTCGTCTCTGTCAAGCATTTGGTCACAATGATAACAAAATAATAACAACAACCTACTATGGAATATTCCTTTACATCGTGTGCGTGGTACTGTGACTGGTTTAATAAAAAGCTAAATGGCCAATGGCAAGGTAGGATTTTCAGGGCAGAGAGAACACTGGGAAGAAGGAGAGCAGAGATGCCAGGACACAAAGCAAGCAGCATGGCATTACAAAGTAAAGAAAGGTAACTGAATCATGTAAAAGAACATAGATGAGGGCTGGAGAGATGGCTCAGTGGTTAAGAGTATTGCCTGCTCTTCCAGAGGTCCTGAGTTCAATTCCCAGCAACCACAGGGTGGCTCATAACCATCTGTAATAAAGTCTGGTACCCTCTTCTGGCCTGCAGGCATACACACAGATAGAGTATTATATACATAACAAATAAATAAATATTTAAAAAGAACATAGATGAAAAGATATTGGTTAATTTAAGTTATAAGAGCTAGTTAGAAACAAGCCTAAGCTATTGGCTAAGCTTTCATAATTTTTTTTTTTTTTTCGAGACAGGGTTTCTTCGTAGCTTTTGGTTCCTGCCCTGGAACTATCTCTTGTAGACCAGGCTGGCCTCGAACTCACAGAGATTCGCCTGCCTCTGCCTCCCGAGTGCTGGGATTAAAGGCGTGTGCCACCACCGCCAGGCTAAGCTTTCATAATTAATATGAAGTCTCTGTGTTGGTTATTTGAGAGCTGGCAGGCAGGATGAAAAAAATCCACCTACAAATGGCGTCCAACGTCCAGCTCCCAAATAAAGACACAAAGACTTAATATTAGTTATGAATGTTTGGCCTTAACTTATGCTTGACCCACTAGCTCTTATAACTTAATTTAACCTGTTTCTCTTCATCTATGTTTTGCCTTGGGCCTTTTTACCTTTCTTTCATTCTGTATGTCCTACTCCATGTCTGACTGGTTAGTGACTGCCTGGCTGGCCAGCTCCCATGTTTCCCTTTCTTTCTTCCTCATTCTCTCGTCTCTCTCCTCTCTTTTCTTCTGTTCTTCTACTTATTCTCTCTGTCCACCAGCCCCACCTATCCCTCTACTGCTTAGTTACTGGCTTTTCAGCTTTCTATTAAACCAATCAGGAGCCTTAGGCAGGAAAGGTGAAACAGCAACTCATCTTTACATAAACAAATGTAACACATCTTTGCCTAGTTGAACAAATGCAACACACCTTTACATAGTGAAAGTTCCACAACACATCTTTGTGTATGAGCTGGTAATGAAGGAACTTTCCCAGCTGGTACAATGAGTGCCAAATTATAGGCAATGTTCTATGTTATCTATAGAACATAGATAAAGCAGGGGCAGGAGAAGAATAAAGTACAGTGCACAGAGTGACAAGGTCTGTAGGAACTAGAAAATCCCCTTTCAGAGAGTGGATATAGGAGTAATCAGAAATGAATTGGTGAGTGCTGGCCACACAGTGCAGGGATAGGGTTTGTGCTTAGCTAAGATGCTTCAGAGAAGAACATGTAGTCCAGGAAAGGACAGTCTGAAACTGGACTGGGTGAATCTGTTAAGTAAGAACGTGGTTCAACAGAGATGATACATGCAGGGAAATCCGAGTTCTAGGCCAGCCTGGTCTACAAAGTGAGTTCTAGGACAGCCAGGAACTGCCTTCCATGGCCTCTGCATCGCTCCTGCCTCCAGGTTCTAGCCCTCCTTGAGTTCATCCCTGAACTGTAAGCCAAACACACCCTTTCCTCACTAACATGATTTTTGGTTTCATCTATGATACCAATAGAAACCCTAATTAATATACCTAAACCATCCCCAGCACCAAATAAAGCTGAATGTGCTATGCAACTTTTAATTCTATCACTCGGGAGTTAAGAGGTAGGAGGATTAGAAGTTCTTGGTTGTCCTCAACTGGTGTGGGAAGAACAGCAAAAGCACAGAGGTCTCTGTGTAGCCTCTTGATGTGTAGATCTTCTCCACACTTCTCAACAGCAGGCAATCTTCCTTACAGTTTGTCCTGATATTTATACGAGGCTTTGGTTTCTCACCCAGTCCTGGTTATCCATTTTTAAAGATATTTTTATACAACTTCGAGCCTCATGCATGCTAGGCAAATGCCCTACCACTGGGCTACATACCCTTCCTTTAAAAACAGGTTCTCCCTGTGTTGCTGTCCATGCTATCCTGGAACATGCTGATGGCACAACCACACTATTTAGGAAAGCCCCGGTGGAGACGTGACTTCCCTGCTTCCTTCCAAGTGAACTGACCAGCTAGCCATCTGCTCTTTAGCAGCCTAAATGTGCATCCCACTGTACAAAGAAAGAGTAGGCACAAGTTATTGGTTTAGCCTCCAAACAAAAGTCAAACTTCCTAAAGCATTGAAAGGTGAGTCGTTCGTGTCCATAGACTACTTAGGAGCTGCCCAAGGTACAAGATTAGTTAACTTACCCTTCGAGTCATTCAGTGTTACTAGACGTGCCAAAAAACGTTATTACTGCTCCCGTCCTTCCTAGGACTTTTCAGAATTCCTCGCTGAGACAACTTTATGGTATAGAAAGCAGATATTCAACAAATCCATGTTGACGTTCTGTGACGTTCCCTAGGGGGAATACGTAGAAACGTCTTCCCCAGCTGGGCAAACAAACGCTGGAGAACACAAGGAGGGCCTCCTACTTCTACACTTCTCAAAACCTGTTTCGGAACACTCCATCCACCTTCTTGCCCTTAAGAATCGCTCGGCTTCATTCAAACGGGCCGCCTTCGCCGACACCCAATCAGAACGTCCGATCTTCAGCTACCGACCAATGAAGGAATGCAATAGATAAGGTGGAAAGTAGGCATGAAGCCATCTCGCAGCGCCATTACACTTTAGGGCAGGGAGGTTAAGAAGCCGGCATGGCGCTCGGGTCAATAAAATCGATAGCTGGAACCTGCCTGTATTCTAGGCAGCGGCGGTGCAGGAGCGGCGCCGCCATCTTCCCCGAAGGCATCTTCCGGTGCCTGTCACCCAAGTTCCAGCGGGAGTTTCCTGAATAACGGTGTGGTCGGCGTTGGGCCGCCTGACCCCTCCGGCGGCAGATTCGGATTTACTCCGGGCCTTCCCGGCCGGGCTCCCAGGTCTCAGGGTGCGCGGTGCCCGGGCAAGGCGGGGACGCAGGTCCGATGGCGCCGCCTCCGGCTCCGCTCCCCGCGCGGGCACCCGGAGAGACCGGACCTACTCGGAGAAGGGGCAGGAGGCCAAGAGCCTTGAAGTTCGCGGACGTGGCCGTGTACTTCTCCTCGGAGGAGTGGTGCTGTCTGCGGCCCGCGCAGCGGACTCTGTACCGGGATGTGATGCGCGAGACCTACGGCCTCCTGGGCGCGCTCGGTGAGGCCCGGCCCAATCGGCTTACGCGGGGCCTAAGGGATGATGGAGCTTGAGGGCGGGGTAGACTGGGGGCAGGGACCCAGGGTCCTGACCTGCGGCCAGCTTGTTAGGGGTGGGGGCAGAGCCTCGGTATACTTTTCTTTTAAAGCATCATTTCCCGAGGCCAGCCCTCTGACTGGTTCTCCTCCCCCAGGATGTGCGGGTCCCAAACCAGCTCTCATCTCCTGGTTGGAACGAAATACCGATGATTGGGAACCGGCAGCCCTAGATCCGCTGGAGTACCGGAGATGGGTAACATTCCAGAGAAGTGAGTTAAAAGTGCCCGCGGAGACCCTGCAGCCCTCTAAACTCTTTCGACTCAGAATTTTGGTCTGGTTAGGGGTAACCGGTTGCTTGTACTGTAGCAAGCTAACTACCTGTAGTAGTCCATTGACATAAATGAATCACTGAGCTTTGGAAAAGATCCTGCTCCCCAGGATCTGGGACCTACCGTCCATTGCACGGAACTCGGGTCCTCTGAAGAGTAGGAAGCCTCAACCACTGAGCCATCCCTCTAGGCCCTGATTCACTCTTGAATTTAAAAAAGAAAAGAAAAGGCCCGTTAATTTGAACGTGCTCCTAGGCTGTGCACTCCTGGATGAAATGGGCTCAAAGGTCTTCAACATTGTTTACAGCTGCGGCTCTCAAAGTCCTAGACCAGCAGCTGCCTATCTGGGAGTTGTCTTAAGTCAGGAGTTTCTATGTTGTAATAAACAACATGACCAGAAGCAGCTTGGGGAGGAAGGGGTTTATTTAACTTACATTTTCATATTATAGACCATCATCAAAAGGAAGTCAGGGCAGGAACTTCAAGGCAGAAACTGAAGCTGAAGCCATGAGGAAGGCTGCTTACTGACGGCTCCCCTGCTTTCTTATATATCCAAGACCACCTGCCTAGGGATGGCACCACCCACAGTGGGCTGGACCCTCCCACACCAATCACTAGTTAAGATGATGCAGGTTTGCCCAGAGGCCAGTCTGGTGAGGGCATTTTCTCCATTGAGTTCCCTCTTCCTAAATGACTCTAGCTTGTATGTATCAAGTTGACATAAAACAATCCACACTGGCCCCTTGTCACCTTGACACACAAACACATCCCTGTTACCCTTGTTCATCCCAGGGCCTCAATTCAGACCCTCCAAAAGTTGGGTCTCCTTACAACGTCCAAATTCTCTTTCAAAGAGTTTCTCTAGAATATCCCAAATCTCTCTAAAATTAACTACAGGTTCCCATAAAAGAAACAACAACAACAAGAAGTTGTGTACTTTATTCCAAATAGTAACCACCAGAGCACAGTTACAATAAAATCAAAGCTAAAGGAAGGTCCAACAGTATGAACTTCTCAGCTTCAGACTGCCGGCCGCACCGTCTTCTGGGCCCAGCAGACTTGGCAGTGGCACTTCCATGACCACCATCCCCAGCACATGCACCTTGTTTGCTAAGCCAGCTCCACTCGGCAGCTGCTGCTGTGGGTGTTGGTCAGCTGTGGTAATGGATCTGCCAAATGCTGAGGCTACCCCTTCCCCACTATCCTCTGCTGGGCTCCCGTTAGAGACGTTGACCCTGCCATACCCTGCCCAGCTCCAGTTTCCCTCCCTGACCCCTTCGGTCCCGAGGTTCCAACTTCAGCTGAAGTTGCCATGTTCACCAGTGGTCTGTACTTGCCTGCCACAGTGCCAGGCCTCAGTTGCTCCCCATGACCCTTTATGCCTTCCAAACTAAGAGGACCTGGCAGACTTACATGTAACCAAGTTCAGCTGCCCACATGAGATGCAGCCTTGGCCCCATCATGGACCGCAGCTCTGTGTACTGACCCTGAGGAAATACTCCGACATTTATGATCCTTGGTGGTACTGGTATTTTTTAATCGTGCTAATTTCTCAGACCCACCTGGCTGGCATTAATTGTCCTAGCTAAGCAAAGGTTTCAGTTTAGTAGTTCTTAATTAAAACTATCACATAGCCAGGTGGTGGTGGCGCACACCTTTAATCCTAGCAATTGGGAGGCAGAGGCAGGCGATCTCTGAGTTCAGGGCCAGCCTGGTCTACAGAGTGAGTTCCAGGACAGCTAGAGATACACAAAGAAACCCTGTCTCAAAAATTCAAAATATATTTATATATTCAATATATGTTTTATATATATATATATATATATATATATAATCACATAAATGGTCTTGGTTGAGTCTTTAAGGAGTCTCAGACTTCCCTCTGGCTCTTCACAAGCCAGGCCTTCGTCACGTGTCCTGCTCTCGGCATTGTCTTCTGAGTTCCCACAGAACAGCCCTCTGCACCCCCAGCCCTCAACAGCTTTCCCACCACACTCCTCCTCTAAACAGATGGCCCTGTCTGCCACAGCAGTACCCGACTCCTGGTGCCAGTTCCTGTCTCAGGGTCTGTGCTGCTGTGACAAACACGGTGACCAAAAGCAGCCTGGGGAGGACAGGGTCGATGACACTTTCTCATCATGGCACGACATCAGGGTAGTCAGGGGCAAGAACTGAAGCAGAGGCCCCGGACGAGGGCTGCTTATGGGCCTGCTTCTCATGGTTTGCTAAGCCTGCTTTCTTATACACCCCAAGGCCACCTGTTCAGGGATGGCACCAAAAATGGGCTGGGCACTCCCACATCAATCACTCACTAAGAAAAATGTACCACACGCCAACCTGGTGAAGGCATTTTCTTTCTTTATTTTTTTTCTTTCTTTCTTTTTTTTTTTCGAGACAAGGTTTCTCTATAGCTTTGGAGCCTGTCCTGGAACTCCCTTTGTGGACCAGGCTGGCCTAGAACTCATAGAGATCCGCCTGCCTCTGCCTCCCGAGTGCTGGGATTACAGGCGTGCGCCACCATCGCCCGGCTCTTTATTTTTTTAAAAAGATTTATTTATTATGCATACAATGTTCTGTTAACATATATACACCAGAAGAGGCACCAGATCTCATTATAGATGGTTGTGAGCCACCATGTGGTTGCTGGGAATTGAACTCAGGACCTCTGGAAGAGCAGCTAGTGCTCTTAACCTTTGAGCCATCTCTCCAGCCCCTGGCATTTTCTTTATTGAGGTTCCCTCTCCCCAAATGACTCCAGTGTGTGTCGAGTTGACATAAAACCAGTACAGGAATGCTTTAAAAATGGAAGTTCTGAGCTGGAGAGAAGGCCCAGTAGTTAAGAGCAGCTGCTGCTTTTCCAGAAGCCCTAAGGTCCCATCCCAGAACCCACATTGGGGCAGCTTACAAGGGTCCTTATGTCCAGTTGCAGGAGCGCCGTCACCATGCTCTTTAGGGAAAAGATCCTTAGGATACACATACACATTAAGTGGGAGAAAGGAAGTCAGTGGAGTGCATACAGCTGCGAGTTGTGTGCTCTTGTATGCAGGACAGGTATGGGGAGCCATACACATTTGCACCATATCAGAAAGCCCTGGAGGGCAGCTGAGAGAGCCGCTTACTGGGTGGGTGTCTGCCTCGTTTGCATACAGCTCGGGTTTGATCCCAGCCCTGGATCAGGAAGCTGTGGTGCCTGCTTGTAATGTTAACATTCGGGGTGTGGAAGAAGGGGGGGGGGGATAAGAAGTTCAAGGTCACCCCCCTTAGTGAGTTGGGGGCCAGCCTAGAGTAAGTACATGAGACCCTGTTTAAACAAACCCCCCAAACATCGGAAGATACTGACAGTTCCTACCAAGGTTTCTGGGTACCCCACGGCTAATAGAAACATTCAAGTTTTTTGTTTGTTTTTAAGGACAAAGTCTGGTGCATCTTAGTAAAGTGATGTAGCCAAGGTGAGCCACTTTATGTGGTGCAGGATTAAACCCAGGGCTTCATGAAGTTGAGGCAAGCGCTCTGCCAATCAAGCCAAACGCCCCCAAACACGGTTTTAAAAGTCCGACTAGCGCCCACCCCGCATCTTACACGGGCTGGATAAGGAGCTCTCATGCCTTCCACATCTGCACCCCACTCTTAGCTCTCTGACACTAACACTTGACAGGATCTGAGTGTATCGCTCTCGTAACCCTTAACATTAAAAGGCAAGCATAGGAACCGGTACTTAATTTTTCTGTTTCCTGGTAGAAACCAGAACCAGACAGAAGAATGAAGAGAAGGAAGTTTTCCCACCGAAGGAAGCACCCCGAAAGGGGAAGCGTGGGCGGAAACCCAGCAAACCCCGGCTGATTCCCAGGCAGACATCTGGGGGCCCCATCTGCCCTGACTGTGGCTGTACCTTCCCTGACCACCCCGCCCTGGAGAGCCACAAATGCGCCCAGAACCTGAAGAAGCCCTACCCTTGCCCGGACTGTGGGCGCCGCTTTTCCTATCCATCACTGTTGGTCAGTCACCGGCGGGCACACTCTGGTGAGTGCCCTTACGTTTGTGACCAGTGTGGCAAACGTTTTTCCCAGCGGAAGAACCTGTCTCAGCACCAGGTCATACATACAGGCGAGAAGCCCTACCACTGCCCTGACTGTGGCCGCTGCTTTCGACGGAGCCGGTCCCTGGCCAATCACCGGACCACGCACACGGGCGAGAAACCCCATCAGTGCTCGAGCTGTGGGCGTCGCTTCGCCTACCCATCTCTGCTTGCTATCCACCAGCGAACGCACACCGGAGAGAAGCCCTATACCTGCCTAGAATGCAGCCGTCGCTTCCGCCAGCGCACTGCCCTGGTCATCCACCAGCGCATCCATACTGGAGAGAAGCCTTACCCCTGCCCTGACTGTGAGCGTCGCTTTTCTTCCTCCTCTCGCTTGGTTAGCCACCGGCGTGTGCACTCTGGGGAGCGGCCCTATGCCTGTGAGCACTGTGAAGCCCGCTTCTCCCAGCGCAGCACCCTGCTCCAGCACCAGCTCTTGCACACAGGCGAGAAACCCTACCCCTGCCCGGACTGCGGACGTGCCTTCCGAAGAAGCGGCTCCTTGGCCATCCATCGCAGCACCCACACGGAGGAGAAGCTGCACGCTTGCGAGGACTGTGGCCGCCGTTTTGCCTACCCCTCGCTGCTGGCCAGTCATCGGCGTGTGCACTCAGGCGAGCGGCCCTATGCCTGTGACCTGTGCTCCAAACGCTTTGCCCAGTGGAGCCACCTGGCTCAGCACCAGCTTCTGCACACGGGGGAGAAGCCTTTCCCCTGCCTTGAGTGTGGCCGATGCTTCCGACAGAGGTGGTCTCTGGCCGTCCACAAGTGTAGCCCCAGCACCCCCAATGGTAGCCCTAGACCTGTTATAGGAGGGCTGGGTCAGAGGAGCAGTACCCTTTAGCATGGCAAAGACTATGGAAGGTCACTTTAGGGAGGGGTTCAGAGGTCACACAGAGCGGGAGCAGAACTAAAACCCTGGTCCCCTGCTCCACATTCTGAACTCTGGTGTAGTCCACCACACTGGCTGCCTTACAGCACGCCTAGAACAGTTATCAGGAGAGATGATTCCCTTTGATTAAAGTTCTCCACGCTAACATCTTAAAATAACGTGGGTGTGTTTCTACCCCAATCTCTGCAGGGCTGCCTTCTTAGTTTGTGTGTATAGAATCCATTCAGTCAGGAAAACGAAAACCTCATTTGTAGAGGGCAGAACCTTCCTGGCTCTGCCTCTGTCTCCGTATCACGGAAAACCCACTCCTGCCAAGTGGTAGGCCGTTGCTGCAAACTGCCGAGTTCCCTACCTCACAGGGCAGCTCACCTCGCGGGTTGGTGCTAATCTCTTCAAGGCTGTACACCGCATTCTCCCTTGGAAACGTGGCCTGGAAAATGTTTAGTAGTTTACCCACACGGTGGTTCTTCAGAAAACCTAATCACAGCTACTTTGTGCCCAAGTAGGTCACCTTTGTGCGCATGTGTGTGTGTGTGTGAGAGAGATGGTGGTCTCACTACCACAAGTGATTCTCCCGCCTCAGCTTTCTGAGTGGTTGGGGGCTGGTGCCAGCACATCTGGCTCTGGTTAAGCATTCTTTAAAAAAAAAGTGTATATACATATTTAAAAGATGTATTTATTATTATTTTATGTGTTTGATGTTTTGCCTGCATGTGTATCTATGCACCATGCTTGGGCCTGGTGCCCAAGAGATGCCAGATGAGGGCATCATATTCCCTGGAGCTGGAGTTGGGAGCCTCCATGGCTGCGGCTGCTGGGAATGGAACCCCAGGCCCTCTGGAAGAGCACCCAGTGCCCTTAACCGCTGAAGAATCAACGCCAGCCTCTGGTCAGTCATTCTCTGGAGAGTGGCTCTCAGGTTCCCCGTGTGAACTCTCCAAGTGGCTGTTTTCAGTGCCTCCTCTTACAGATCATCCGAAACCCCAGCACCGCCGTGTGTCCAGGGAGCCCTTCAATCTGCGGCGTTTTTATTTACTCTGGGCAGCACTGATGTGGGGGGCAGGGGTGCCAGTGTGTTTGTTGGGTTCCAGCCCTACCCTTTCCTTTTAGAGATGTGATAAAACCAGATCATCTTCACCACACTTGGGAATTGGTTCAGGCTGGGTCTGAGGCACCAGCGCGGGAAACTGGGAGGTTTGACTACTTTGTTCTTGTTCTTGTTTTTGGTGTTTTTTTTTTTTGTTTTTTTGAGACAGGGTTTCTCAGTGTAACCCTGGCTGTCCTAGTACTTACTCTGTAGACGAGGCTGGCCTCAAACTCACAGAGATCCTCCTGCCTCTGCCCTGCCTCCTGAGTGATGGGATTAAAGGCTTGTGCCACTACCAACCGGCGAGAGGTTGGATTTGAAGAAACAGTGGGGGACCAGAATCTAGCAGCAAGAGGTAGACTTGAGTTTGCTACAGGTAGCTAGTGGCTGGGAAAATCCCTGGGAACTGGGTCTTATTTTTTTTTCCCTTGTTTTCATCAAAATAAGGAAATAGCATGGAACCTCCCATGGGGCCCCATTCAGCTTTTGCTCATGAATTAAAGTGAGGTCATTCCAGGAGGGTAGAAGCCATGAGAGCAGTGTCTAACTTTGTGCTGCTTCCATGGTACCCACCCAAAGAGCTGCTCAGTAAAACTTGACTACCCTCTTGCCCTCAGCAGCTGCACCAGAGTGGAATTTCTAAACACGACTTAGCATATTCCAACAGCTGAAGCGTGTCATCCTGCAGTTGCCTCTTCCCACAATGCATCTGCTCTCAGCACTAGGTAGGGAGCAGATGGAACACACCAATTTGTAATTACCTCTATTTAGGTGTTTGGCAAGCCGATTGTAACCATTCATTTCTTCGTGGATAATGAGTGCCCTCTGGGCAGGGGCCTTGACAGATAGAATTTCATTAAAATATTTAATGGATAAATTCTTCTGGAATTACTCTTCATAAAATGTGAATTTAGCTCTTCGGACGAGAAATTCCCTGTTATGATGAAGATTGAATGCCTTAGCCCGAGTAGCCTGCCTTTCCCTAGCCACGACTTAGGCTGTCTGCCAAGTCTTCACCATTCGAACTGCCGGTGTGTTACCGACTAGTGAAGTAAGCCCTCAGTCAGGAATTTTACAGTGCTACTGGGCTCAGTTTGTAACCCAAAGATGTGGAAGCCATCATGGTTAGCTTCCATTGTGTCCATGGAGAGCAGAGGGAAGAGCAGTATAGGCTTCTCCATTCCAAGTGTGATTCTGGCCTGTTACTCAGTAAGGACCCCAGCATCTTTCCAGGAAATTCTTCTCCATGAAATACATGGGGAAAATCACAGTTCTGTTGAGAAGGTCGTGATTCCTTTCCCAGTCCCAACCTCAGTTGCTCCTCCAGTGTTGTGATGTTACCAGATATTCTTAGCAGTGAGTACCTTTTATTCACCAAAAGACAAGCCATCCAAGAGACTGTCCGCACTCCACTGCCCCCTACTGGCTCCCCAGTGTACCTACTAGTGCACTTGTTCCCGTCAGCTCTTGGGGGAGTCCTTCATGTGCAACATTCATCAGTAATAGCTTTGCCTGGATTCTGTCCCACTTTTACACCCTCTATTTTTTGACAGGGTTTCTCTGTGTATCCTTGGCTTTCCTGGAACTCTATAGACCAAACCTCAAACTCACAGGATATATCTGTTTCTACCTGAGTGCTGGGAATAAAGGTGTGAGCCACTACCACCTGGCTATTATTTATTCTTTTTCCTCCTAGATTTATGAGAGTCCTCTTGTCTTTCACAATACATTCTAGCCTATAAACATACTAAGATCTATCTTTAAATCGTTTTTATTTTATTTTATTAATCTTTTTTGTTTGTTTGTTTTTTGGTTTTTCGAAACAGGGTTTCTCTGTGGCTTTGGAGCCTGTCCTGGAACTAGCTCTGTAGACCAGGCTGGTCTCGAACTCACAGAGATCCGCCTGCCTCTGCCTCCCAAGTAATCGTTTTTTTAAAAAAGAATTTTCCCTCTGGCCTGTCTCCGTTTAGTTTCTGATAAATTTATTATGCAACAGTGCATTCTATTTTCTGCACACGACTCTCACTGCTGCACTGTGGTCTGCAGCCGGCTGTAGCATTGCTGCACTGACGAGGCGCTTCCTGTGTGCCTTCACTACAGTGACCACTATTAGTCAGGGTGCCTCGAGTCACAGAACTTATGGAATGAATCTCTGTCTGTGCGCATGTGTATATACATGTATATATATATGTACATATATATGTATGTACTGGAATCTATTGGAATGACCTACAGGCTGCAGTTCAACAGTGACTAGTTGTGAATACAAAGTTCAAGAATCCCAGAGTTGTTCAGTCACATGAGGTTGGGTGTCTCAGCTGGCCTTCTGTAGATGTTGGAATCCCAAAGCCGTATGCTCCAAGACATGGGTGTGCGGACAAGGCCGGGGCAAGTAGGCAAAGAGTGAACCCTTCCTTCACCCGTTGTCTTTAAACCAATCACAGCGACACATCTTCATACAGTGTAAAGAAAGATCCCACAACAGGTCAGCAGTGTGTGTGTGTGGGGGGGTAATCTCTCCGCCACCCGTGCTGTTACATGATAGTAGTGGAGACAGCTCTCCCCTGCTCACAATCTCAGGGCTGGCTCACCCACACCTCTGCCAACAATGTTATCTCTACTGTGCTGCTGAGGTGAGGTGCGTGACCTCAGCTTCTTAGTCTGCAATCCCCTCACTCTGACCCCCGTGAGCAAATGCTTATCATTAGGATCTGTTTATCCGGTCAGGTTGGTACAGCATGAGGCAAGACTCCAAACACAAGGCTGCTCTCGTTGCATAAAATACTCTAAAGGGTTGGAAGTCCTTCCCAGGAGCAGGGTGGAGTACTGGTCTTGATGGTGAGCTTCCTTTGGAATGTGCAGGCTTTGAGCAACCCACATCTGCTGAGTTAACTCTTTGCCGCAGGCACCTGACATAGTCCACTGTGCCTGCAGCATGCAGCAGCCTTCAGGAACTTTAGATTTACAGTCAGTTTAGATCCAGTGTCTAATCACTGAAAATTCTAGCTACTTGCCCTCTTCTAGTGCTTAGCCACCCTAGTAGGTGGCTGCAAGTGCCCTTTGCAAGCTGGAAAGACATACAGCACACTTTTGCCAAAGTTGTGCAGTCCTTTATGAAGGGAACCTCGGGTGAGAGAGCTGCAGCCCTCAGGAGAGTGACCTCTTCACCTAGACTGGGTAACACAGCCCTGAAGGTGTAGGTGAGGGAGAACAGACCCTGAGGAGAACTGACCACACCCCTTGCTCAACACCGCGGCAAGGGCTGAACTGGCCAGGTAGAGAGCTCACCCTAGTGGTGAAGACGGGAGAGCCTGCAAGCCGACCGACCCTGCAACTACCCAGAACCAGGGTTAGTGTTGGCCACCCCAACATCCACCTCATCTGTGATCTGCTGGAGCATAGGGACGGGGTCAGTCCTGTGGACCCAGGACTGCAGAATCTCTACAACACAGGGGCAGCAATGGGGTGTTCAGGAAGAGTCCCAGTGAGGGCCAGTGTCAAAAGGATAGCATGACCAGGGCCTTGAATGAAACCAATGAGTCTTTGTGATGAACGTCTGCATGTAAAAATGGGTATAAAGGGGTTTACTGCGTGACTCACTGTGTCACACGGCAGCTTCCATGACAATATTCCCCTTTCTTCTTTTTCTTAAATTTATTTTATTTGTTTTATTGGGGGGACGTTGTAGGGGCAGAGGGTATATGTGAGGAAACAGGAGATGGCTGGGATCAGGATACATGATGTGAAAAACACAAAGAATAAATAAAAAAGAAAGTTAAAAAGAAGAAGCTTAGGTAAAGCATAACAAGTCTTTCTCTGTCCTGACACCCAGCTCCCAAATAGTGACATGGAGACTTCTTTTTTTTTAAAAAATATTTATTCATTTATTATGTATACAATATTCTGTCTGTGTGTATGCCTGCAGGCCAGAAGAGGGCACCAGACCCCATTACAGATGGTTGTGAGCCACCATGTGGTTGCTGGGAATTGAACTCAGAACCTTTAGAAGAGCAGGCAATGCTCCTCACCTCTGAGCCATTTCTCCAGCCCGAGACTTCTTATTATGAAAGCTAAGCCTATAGCTTAGAGTTGTTCCTAATTAACCCATTTATATTAATCTATCACATGGTGTTACCTTTCTTCCATCTTTTACCTCGTTCTTCTCTGTGTCTGGCTGGTGACTCTACCTTTCTTCTTCCCAGCGTCCTCTCTGTCCCTGGAAGGTGCACCTAACCTCTTCCTGCCCAGCTATTGGCCATCCGGCGCTTTAGTAAACCAATCACAGTGACCCGTCTTCATACAGTGTAAAGAGAGGCTCTACAACAGGTCAGCAGTATGGGAACACAGCCCTGCAGCTGATTGCTAAGGCCTGGGTGGTTTGCACAGGTTGTCACGGTCATATCTGGGATACTTACGTACATCTTTGTGTAACTCACTAAAGAGGACAGCTCAAAGCTTCTGCCTTTTTGCCCCCCTGGGTCTTGCATATGTCTTTCCCTTTGTTGATTTTAATTTGTATCCTTAAAGTGGGTTGTGGTGATATATGCTTGCAATCCTAGCATTTGGAACACGGAGACAGAAAACCCTGTTTTCAGAAGCAAAACCAAACTAAACCACTACCACTACCACCACCACCACCACCACCACCACAACAACAACAACAACAACAACAACAAAACTGAGAAGAAAAGAAAAGAAACAAAGGCACTCTTTGCCTAGGCCTGTCTTGGGGTTGTATTTACAGCAACTAGGAAGGGAAGCTTAGTGGGAAAGCCAGCTGTGCCCTTCCCGTACCTTTTGGAATCCCAGCATTTTGGAAGCTAAGGCAAGCACATATTTACAAATTTCAGGCCAGTCTGGGCTGCCTGTGAGACAGTGAGACCATGTCATAAAAAAGAAAAAGAAAAAGAGAGAGAGAGAGAGGTGGATAGAAGGGAAGGGAGGGAAGGGGAGCAGCTTGGAGGGAGAGCAGAGTTCACCAAGAAACGGCAGGTCTCACAAATCCCTTTCCCCAGCTGGTAGCACGACTCACTGTGTGCCCAGCGTTCGTCTGGACCCCTCCACGTTGTCTCCGCGGGACTTTGAAGGCAGAAGGAACCCAGGCCTACATGCCTGTGCTGTTGGTTGCACTGTGAATGAGAGCTGTCTTGTTGTTTTCAAACCTCTACGCCAGAAGTCTATTTTCTTCCTTCCTTCCTTCCTTCCTTCCTTTGTCTTTTAAAAAAGATTTATTTATTTATTTATTATGTATACAGCATTCTGTCTGGATGTTTGCCTGCAGGCCAGAAGAGGGAGCCAGATCTCATTACAGATGGTTGTGAGCCATCATGTGGTTGCTGGGAATTGAACTCAGGACCTCTGGAAGAGCAGCCATCTCTCCAGCCCCAGAAGTCTATTTTCTTCCTTACAGTGGTATTTCCCTTTAACAGATGCAGAATCTGAAGCTCAGTGATATTAAACCAGTTGCCCAAAGCCACACATCTGGCTATTCCGAGTGCCTAGATTTCAAATCAGGTCTAAAATCATCTACCTGGACATTTAGCACCAAAAGGTGAGCATTCATCTCAGGCACAAACACCTCCAAGTACATTGCAACTCAGAGGTCTGTCCAGGTCCTCTGCCCTACACTAAGTAATTAATTAGTGTCCTGTACTTTCTTTTCTTTCTTTCTTTCTTTTTTTTTTTGAGACAGAGTCTCGATAGGAAGTCTAGGATGGCCTTGAACTCTCGATCTTTCTGCTTCATCCTCCTAAATGCTGGGATTATAGATGTGAACCGCCAAGCCCAGCTCGCCCCAATTTTTTTTTTTTCGAGACAGGGTTTCTCTGTGGTTTTGGAGCCTGTCCTGGAACTAGCTCTTGTAGACCAGGCTGGTCTCAAACTCACAGAGATCCGCCTGCCTCTGCCTCCCGAGTGCTGGGATTAAAGGCGTGCGCCATCACCGCCCGGCCTAGCTTGCCCCAATTTTGTAACCAATATCCAATCGTGCTTTCCAAGTCCCTGACCATCCAGCCAAACCCTGGCAATGGCTACGAGGGACACATCTGGCTATTTCTCCTTCTTATACACCTAGGTGCTACCGCAAGCTCTGCTCACCGAGCCGTCCCTCCGCTACTGTTCTTCAGGACTCTGCCGGATGCTACAGTGCTGCAGCTGTCCACTTCAGGTGCACATCTCTCTCCCGGCCAAACCTGGCCTTCCCCTCTGTCGGTAGCTCATAGGACGTCCCCCATAAAGCTTGGGCTGGGAGCAAGAAGGCTAAGTATGGCAGTAACAGGAAGCACTGGAATTTGGGCCACATGTATCTTATTTATGTCTTCAGAACTTGCTTGGGCCAGATCACATAGATACTGATGTTACGGGAGTATGTGTGTGTGTGTTGGTGTGCTGAGAACTGAATTAGGGTTCCACATGTGCTATGCAACACTCTACCATGGAGCTATATTCCCAGTCCTTTACTTCTATTTGATGATGAAGTTCTTTTTTTTTGGTTTTTCGAGACAGGGTTTCTCTGTGGTTTTGGAGCCTGTCCTGAAACCAGCTCTTGTAGACCAGGCTGGTCTCGAACTCACAGAGATCCGCCTGCCTCTGCCTCCCGAGTGCTGGGATTAAAGGCGTGCGCCACCATC